CCTTGTGAGCTTTTGCCGTTTGAGCTTTTGCCGTCTGAGCTTTTGCCGTTTGGGCTTTTGCCGTTTGGGCTTTTGCTCGTTGGGCTTTTGCCGTCTGAGCTTTTTCTCTTGGAGCTTTTGCCATCTGAACTTTTGCCGTTTGGGATTTTGCTCGTTGGGCTTTTGCTCATTGTGCTATTTCTCGTTGGGATTTTGCTCTATGGGCTTTTTTTGTTTAGGCTTTTTCCGTTTAGGTTTTTCCCGTCAGGGTTTTTTCTTTGAGCTTTTGGCCTGAGAGCTTTTGGCCTGTGAGCTTTTTGCCTGTGAAGTTTTACTCCTTGAGTTTTTGCCGTTTGAGCTTTTGCCGTTTGGGCTTTTGCTCGTTGGGCTTTTGCTCTTTTGGCTTTTTCTTCTTGGGCTTTTGCTCTTTCGGCTTTTGCTCTTTGGGCTTTTGCTCCTGCAGCTTTTGGTTTTTGGGCTTTTCCTATTTAGACTTTTCCCTGTGAGCTTTTGGCCTGTGAGCTTTTGCCGTTTGAGCTTTTGCCGGTTGGGCTTTTGCTCGTTGGGCTTTTGCTCTTTTGGCTTTTTCTTCTTGGGCTTTTGCTCTTTGGGCTTTTGCTCCTGCAGCTTTTGGTTTTTGGGCTTTTCCTATTTAGACTTTTCCCTGTGAGCTTTTGGCCTGTGAGCTTTTGGCCTGTGAGCTTTTGGCCTGTGAGCTTTTGCCGTTTGAGCTTTTGCCGTTTGGGCTTTTGCTCGTTGAGCTTTATGCTTTTAGGCTTTTTCCTTTTGGGCTTTTGCTCTTTGGGCTTTTGCTCCTTGGGCTTTTTTCATTTTGGGATTTTTCCTTTTGGGCTTTTTCCTTTTGGGCTTTTGGTCTTTGGGCTTTTGCTCTTTGGGCTTTTTCCCTTTAGGCTTTTTAACTTTAGGCTTTTCCCTTTGAGCTTTTGGCCTGAGAGCTTTTGCCCTGTGAGCTTTTGCCCTTTGAGCTTTTGCTGTTTGAGCTTTTGCCTTTTGAGCTTTTGCCATTTGAGCTTTTGCCGTTTGGTCTTTTGCCGTTTAGGCTTTTGCGATTTAGACTTTTGCTCGTTGGACTTTTGCTCTTGGGGCTTTTGCTCTTTGGGCTTTTGCTCTTTGGGCTTTTCCTATTTAGGCTTTTCCGTGTGACCTTTTGGCTTGTGAGGTTTTCGCCTGGGAGCTTTTGCCGTTTGAGCTTTTGCCGTCTGAGCTTTTGCCGTTTGGGCTTTTGCTTGTTTGGCTTTTGCTCGTTGGTCTTTTTGCTTTTAGGCTTTTTCGTTTAGTGCTTTTGCTCTTTGGGCTTTTGCTCTTTGCACTTTTGCTCGTTGGGCTTTTTCCTTTTGGGCTTTTGTTCTTTGGGCTTTTGCTCGTTGGGCTTTTTCCCTTCAGGTTTTTCCCTTTAGGCTTTTCCCTTTGAGCTTTTGACCTGAGAGCTTTTGGCCTGAGAGCTTTTGGCCTGAGAGCTTTTGACCTGTGAGCTTTTGCCCTTTGAGCTTTTGCCCTTTGAGCTTTTCCCCTTTGAGCTTTTGCCATTTGAGCTTTTGCCGTTTGGTCTTTTGCCGTTTAGGCTTCTCTTGGGCTTTTTCTCTTGGGCTTTTGCTCCTTTGGCGTTTGCTCCTTGGGCTTTTGCCTTTTGTGCTTTTGCCTTTTGGACTTTTGCCTTTTGGGCTTTTGCCTCTTGCCTTATGCCTTTTTCTTTGCCGTTTAACTTTAACCTGTTTACTGTAACCTGTTTACATTTTACCGGGTAAGGTCTAGTTGGTGTCATGCAAAAATTAGTCAGATGCAGAAATGGTGTGGTTTGATC